TGATGATCTGGGATAACGTGATTAGAATCGAGGATGGGGTGCAGGCGTTTTAGGATGAGCTTTTCCAGGATTTTGCCTAGGATGGGTAAAAGGGAGATAGGGCAATAAGAGGATGGGTTTTCTGGTGGTTTTTTGGGTTTATGTTTCATTTTGATAATAGATAATTTCCAAGGGTTAGGAAAGTATGTGGTTCGCAGAACAGCATTATATATATACGTAAGGAATAGGATGGTTTTCCGAGGAAGCAGTTTTAGGATCTGGGATGTAATTAGGTCGTGTCCAGGAGCTTTTCGGGACGGTAACCTTTGAATGATGTCGGATATTTCTGAAGGATGAAAGGCTTTAGGTGGAAGAGACATTTGGAGTGGGATATTCACTTCTGCTTCAATACATTCAAGGTGATTTTGGTTAAGAATATCAGGATGTGGATTAAAGGTTTTAAAGAGGTAATGAGCAAAGATTTGTGATTTTTCTTCATCGGATTTGGACCAAGTTTGATCTTCAGTAAGAAGTGGATGATTAGTCTTTAAATTTCAGGAGCCTTTTTGTGGTCGTCCATAGTGATTTGTCGGTAGGTGTAAGTTTTTCAGTAAAGTTTAGTAAATTTTGAATTTTGTATTTTCTAATTTCAGATTTTAGTTTGTTAGTCAGTTGGGTATCGATCTACTTCGATCAGCTACTTCGATCTTGCTCTGCGTTTTTCTTTCAATAAGATACGAATATGCTGTGGCAAGTCAGTCTTTTGTGAATTGCTGAACTTATTGATAAAAGTGTTATTATTTATACTGTCTGTTATCGATGCTGTCAGTTTTTCAATGGCACCATTAATGTCATCTTTTGTCTTTAGCGGAATTTTTAAGTCTAGTTTGTTTTCCAAATCATCACGAAATTGGTCCCAGTTCACTCGTCCTGTGATCAATTTAGGAGGTGATTGTTTAGGAGCATAGCTCGAATGTAGTGAAAGTAGAACTGGACTATGGTCTGAAGAAAGGTCATCAAGGGATTTGATTATGGTTTGTGAGGAGGAGATCTGAGAAGTTATTAATATATCTAGGATATCGGGACGTTTTTTGAGGGATGTTGGCCAATAAGTAGGACTCGTGGGCGAAAGGATTGAATAATTGTTGGAAGATGAACACGTGATAGGATGTTACCGCGGGGGTCGGATGTTCGACAACCCCATCGTTGGTGTTTAGCATTGTAGTCTCCTTCAGCAATGAAGCGCGATCCGAGGGATTTGAATAAGGAATCAAGGAGGTTATAGGAGAGGGATTTACCAAGAGGACAGTATACAGCTGAGAATGTGAGATGGAAAGGGCGAGTTGAAAGGACTAAGGAAGTTGATTGAATGGCATCAGTTGGAGTGGAAGGAATAAGGGAATGGGGTAATAATTTATGTATAAGGATGCAAGAACCAGCGTGGGAGGTGTTGTCTGGGTGATCAGTTCTATAAGTGAAGTAGTCACGTATGTAGAAATGTATTCGTTTAGTGAAGTGAGTTTCAGTCAATAGAGCAATGTCAATGTGATTATTATGAAGAAATATGTCAAGTTCGTCACGGTGGTTACTTAGTCCGTTAGCATTCCATAAAAGGATAGTTAGGGCTTTGTGCTCATCGTTGGAAATTGAACGGAATTTCGGTCAGGATTCTGGTGAGAAGAGTGATAAGTGGTTTTATAGTATTTTGCAGGTCCAATAGGAAGGATGATAGAATGGAGGTTAGGTCGGATGGATCTTGATTGTGAATTGGATTCAGGATAGGTTCTTGTGGTGGATTAGGAGTGTTAGCTGAGGGCGGGATCCGTCGTTGTGCACGAGGTGGGTCTAGATTGGAAGGTACATGTGCTGCACTTTTTTTCTGGGCGTTAGGATGGGACTGTTGAGGATGCTGCGGTGGTAATTTGACTCGTAAGGGTATATGATGAGGGAGAATTTGCTGACGTGGAGGATGAGATTGAGGATTGTGAGATAGAGGTTTGCATTGGGAGATTTGAGGCGCCTTAATTTGAGGCTGCTACTTCTTCATGGTGGTTGGTGTTTTTATAAAGTCCTGCTGAGATTGATCAATTTCTTTTGAAGTAGACGCTAGCTGTGTATTTTGAGTAGACGTTTTTGGCAATTCAGGAAAATTTGACAGATTATCAATTTCAGGTAGATGGGTGACACTTTCTTGGTTCAGTTTTACGCTTTTCGAATCAGTGTTCTGAGCTCTCTGCTTATAAAAATGTTTATAAACTTTGCATCCTCTATAGTTTGCTGGATGTTCTTCACCACAAATGGCACATTTCGCAGGCAGGTCTGGAGGTCTCTGACAAGTGTCAGATGCGTGGGGGCCGGCACATTTCACGCACCTGGCCTGGTGATGGCAATAAGTCTTTGTATGCCCCAAATCTTGGAACTTAGTGCATTGCACTATTATAGGCTTTTGTCTAGGCTCTTCAAATTTAATGGTGGAATATATAAGCCTCTTCACTTGGAAGCCTCGTTGTTATTGCTGGCAGGCTCTAAATCGACGAAAAATAGTGGTAAAGGATATTTTTCCGTTGGGTGTAGTACGCATGATATGTGCCTAACATTATGACCTATTTCTTCTAGGCCACTTTTGATGAAAGATATTGGGGTGCTTGAGTGTAGTCCTCTTAACACCATTCGGTATGGTTTTTCTTGTCTTAATTGATAACAATGAAAATCATAGTTTTTGGACGTAAAGTAATTTATAAGTGCTTTGTAATTTTCTCGAGAGTTTGTGTTTATTTTGATATCATTAACTCTGGAGAAACAGCGGAAATTGGTCTGTCCAATCAGACCGGCAATGTCTTGACCAAATGTAATGAAGTTATCGACTTTTGATATGAAAATATGTGGCGGCTCGGGCTCAGAAAACTCTTGAGGCTCCGGAATCTTGCTTGATATTTTATTAACGGGAACAGGATTATTGGTGTTAGTGGTGTTTGGTGCAGTTGGCTCTGATGTTATGGTAATTGATTTGCTTCTGGTTTGAGGTGGTGATGATATATTTTGCTCTGCTGATTGTTTAGTTTTAGTAGATTTACTTTGTTCAGTTGACTTTTTAGATTTATTTTGCTCTGCTAACTGTTTAGGTTTAGCTGATTTATTTTTTTTTCTTATTGGGTGAATTAGCTCCCGACCCAGGAGGAGTGTTTCGATGACGTTTTTGAAGTGTTAGAAGTGATGACGTGTGTTTGAAGTGTTTCGCTAATCTCAGAAAACGGCTTTTCGTGCTCCGAATCTTCACCTGACGAACTCTTATCTAAATTCATATCTTCCATTTTATGATAAAAGAGAGAATAACAAATATATATTTACTCCTAAATATGATAATTAAAAAGATTGAAGATTATGAAATAAACTATTAAAAAATAAACTATATACATAACTATAATCAGAAATAAAATAAAACACTCTTAGAATAAATATTTAAATAAAAATAAAACGAAAGAAAAGAAAAAAAAAGAAAGAAAAAAAAAAAGAAAAAACGAAACTTAAATATAATGTCTTGGGTTCGAACTGAAGACCTGATGACTGAAGGAAGTTAGTAAGCAGAGCCCCTGGCCGTGAGCTTATCGGAGTATGATAAGGCACGTAAGGGAATTAACGGCCTCACGATCTAACCAAATGAGCACCAATTTATCAATTGTTTATTGTTAATAAATAGTACCTCACATGTGTGTACGTAAACGTAAAAGTGTAAAACTGTTTATTAACTCACTGTTGATTAAGTATTACACCACAACTTTGAATATTGAGCACATTACAAAGCAACAAATACAGAGCGACATGAAAGTACTGCACTTGCGGCCATCCCACTTAATTTAAATTTGAATCCAGTGGAGAAGTAAGCATTATATGCATCTTGAAGAAAGAATTATACTCCTATTCCTTCACTCAATTTTATTCTAAAAACAACCAATTCTTAGTTGTTACATTTGGGGAGTGGGAGATGTGATTTTTCGCGAATTTGGAGATGCTCCCACCACCTGGCAGATGGGAACTCTTATGAAGGGAAACTTTTAACAATTATTTCTTGCAAATACCCTTTTTTGTTCTAAGGTCTTGGGACCTTGTGAACAGACGGGAGAGAAGGAGATGGCAATGATTTTTGTTTATTTATTTTTTAGGAAGATATACAAGATTTGGTCTTAAGATGGGAAACTGTTATAGAGCAATATTGTAAATATATTTATGAAACACGTTCAATCAAAATGTATTAGTCCATGGTACAGACTCCTTTTTCTCAAATTATTAACATCCACCCTTAACTTCGTAGATAACTTCATCTCATCATAACCTACAACTATTTTATTTAAGAAAACTCTTGGAATTGGGGGATTTTCAATCTGAAGATCAGCAAACTTTGTCTATTTATTTAGGTACTAACACCTCGTAAATAGCCATTTGCTTTCAGCTTCAATCGTAACATAATTTGAGCACAAAATAGAGTAAAATGTGGCCTTAAAAATATTGAGCCGTTTGGTGTGGTCTGCATCCCAAAATGTCAAAACAAGGTTATATAGTTCAACATTTTTGAAGCCCAACTTTTTTCTTGATTTTGTGATCAAATTATCTTACGATCCGAATGGAAAGCAAATAATTATTTACTAGTTTTTAGTAGCTAAATAAATAAACAATGTTTACCGATCTCAAGGTTGAAAACGCCCCAATTCCAAGAGTTTTTGTAAATAAAATAGTTTGTGGATAATGATGAAATGAAGCCATTCAAGAAGTGTCAGGCGGATGTTAATTATTTGGTAACAGGGGCTAATACATTTTAGATTGAACGTGTTTCATAGATTTTATCATATCCTTTATATCAATCAATTAAATACTGACATTACTAATTGGTTGACCTAATAATCTTATTGAATGTTCTATATGGGTTCTGTATTTTATGAAAAAAAATATAATTATTCAAAGAATTAGGAAATACAGACCTTTGGTAACAATATATAAATAAACAGTACAAATAAAACACTATCAATTTAGAACCTAAAAAGAAAATTTTTTGAATCTTCTTTACGTGCTTTTAATACGCAACCTATTTGTTGTGCTGCTACAGATAACACTGGCAATTCAATACGATTGAATTCATCAAAGCATCCCCAACTGCCAGACATTGCTAAACCTTTAAATGTTCTAGCCAATGATCGAAAATCTATTTGATCAGAACAATTGAAAACTATCACGAATTTTCCTAAAGATTTGCCCATATCTTTAGTGGTTTCTGTTTTACCAGTTCCAGCTGGCCCAGCTGGAGCACCTCCCATGGCCATCCCTGAAAGTATTACGTTTTAACACAGTTCTGCCAACATTTTTTAAAATGTATATTCAAATGTATCACCTTACTATTACATTACAAAAAAAATATTAAACAATAAGAAATTGTTAAAAAAAGTATTGAATTTGTTATTTATTCTATATTAATTTTATTAAGAAGTTTGTTATTTTCTAGTAAATTTTTTTTTTTGTATTTTGGTCACTGGCGTGGTATTGACTTACCCGTAAACCAAAATTGTGTGTATGTGTGTGTGTGTTTGGTCACTGGTGTGGTATTGATTTACCCGTAAACCAAAAAGTGTGTATGATTTGGTCACTGACGAGGCTTTAAACACCCCCTAAACCAATGTATGCATGTTGTGGTCACTGGTGAGGCTATAAACGCCCGTAAACTACTGGATCCTCTCGAAGAATCTTCACCTTGACGTGCTGAGAGGGCTTAAAGCTGTAAGATGAACTAAGACAGATGCACACTGTTGGATTTACATCCACAATTTTTGTTGTATGTAATATTTTAAATTATATTATTTGGCTTGTATGAATAACACGGGGGACCCCGGTCTCATCTTGTCATACCCCCTCTCTAAGACGGCCTTATCTACGGAAAAAAGTCACGTAACCAGACCTCAAGAGTTACAGCACTTCGGCTACACCAGCTCCAAGACTTTGGAAGAAAGGTGGATTGAGAGGGAGAAGGCACGAGACCGGCCCCCTCATCAAACTGTACGTAACCTATTTTATTCATTCACAAGTATTCCTCCACAGAACATTTCTTTTTATATCACAAGAACATTGCTCCCCGTCATATAGCATGTACAGGGGCCCCCAATATTATACATATGGTGCCCTGGGTGAGGAATACTAGTGAATAAAAATACTGTAAACATATGCCCATCGTTTCAATAATATTATTTGTTTAATGCTCAATTTAATTCTCGGTTACTTTTTTTACGTTAAAATAATTAATGGTTTTCAATATTAACGGCATTTATTAACGCCAATGTTGCTATTAATTAACTTAAATATTAAACGGCTTAAACATCCAGCATGTGAGCCTTTCTTAATACCATTTGAAGCATAATTCAAGGCCGTCTAATTCAATTACAGACATCTCACAGATCGCCGTTCCTATAATTATTACTCTAAAAAAGTCAAGCAATAATGAATTTCATTCCATCCATAGTGCAAAAGTAGAAAAATTCCTCTCCTCACCAATTCCACTTTCCCTCTCACCAAAAGCAGTTCATCCTTCTGAGGTCAAATATCATTTACAAAAATTATCTTCCCGCAAATCTCCTGGATACGACCTTCTAACCCCACAGATCCTTCATCAACTACCACCCAAAGCGATCATGTTCCTCACACAACTGCTTCCTAAGAACTACCCATTTTCCTCTCTTATGGAAACATTCCACCATCGTCCTTTTTCTGAAACCAGAATAACCTTACAATAACACATCATCATATAGACCAATTAGCCTACTCCCAATCCTTTCAAAAATATTTGAAAAATCCTATTAAAAAGTATCCTACCCATTATAGAAACACAAAACCTTCCTACCCCTGGATTCCGATTTGGTTTCCAGCATTCCACCGTTCAACAAGGTTTCCGAATTGTTGACCACATATCCTCAGCCTTAGAAAACAAAGAATATTGCTCAGGAGCATTCCTGACATCAAGCGCATTCAATCCTTTCAGTCTAAAGTCCTCCGAACAATTGTCGATGCTCCCTTCTATGTAACCAATAAAACCCTTCATAATGACCTTCATATACTATTTGTTATTGACCTAATCCCAGACAAATTTTCGAAATTTCACCAAGAACTCACTTATTATCCAAATCCTGTAGCACAATCTCAATCTAGCTCCAGCCATAACTACAATCCTCCCCGGAAGTTAAAACGCAGTGGCCCCGCTACCTTTTGCAAATATGTATACATTGGATTACTGGCAATGGCCAGATTCTCCACTCAAGTCCAGAGTGTCTGTTGCTCTAGTGCCCTCCATCAGTCTCCACTGGCTTCTATACCAGTGACGCGGCTGGGAGATAAGCACTGGGATCCCAGGGGGATCTCCTGGGGTCCTTCCTTGGCTCCACAATTGTGGGAAATAGAATGACTCGGAATCCCCTGGGCGAATGTAAATATTGTGTATAGGTGTGAATGTGTTTTATATATTTCAATTTCATTTAGTTTCTCTCTCTTCTTTTTTTTTTACCTATGTTTGTTAATTTTCTTATTTTACTTTCCACAAATTTTTTTCTTTTGTTTCTACTTTAGTTATCATTTGTATGTATATATTGTGTGGATGTTTAATGCAGACCTAATATTATTGCCTTGCAATGCTGCAGAATGTATTAATTTTCAAATTAAATATATATATATATATTTATATATATATATATATATATATATATTTATATTTCATTAGTGTATATGCATAATTATTTTTTTGTGATTGCTTATATTTCATTCGTTCATATGCATAGCTTTTTAATCAATTATTTATACTTCACTGGTTTATATTCATAAATATTTTTTCAATTATTTATCTTTCATTAATTTATATTCATGAATATTTATTTAATGGATTTATATTTCGTTTTATGATAATTTGTTCTATGTTGCATTCCCATATAAATCTTTAAATATTTTTTTTTACTTTACAGAAATTAAATTAGGCAAATTTCGAAGTTTTTCTTCGATCTTTCACAATTTTTACGGTTTTGTTTACATATTTAATAGTTGATTCCTCGATCCTTAATTCGGAACCATCGGTAGCGGTAACGAGCAATTGAACGGCTTTTCCGACTACTGTGACGCGCATGAGCGTAAGCTTTGCCATCTCAAGCGCGGTCTTAACAAATTGTTTATCCAACCCGCGGATATCGGCGGTGGTGACTTCTTCGAATACAAAGTAATTTACGAAGAGACAAAACAAATATGGGATAAATTCGAAATTCTTTTTCTTTTTTTTTTTTTGGTTTATTGATAAATATTACAATCTGTCTCAATAAAGGACATTTATAATAGAGTTCTGAGAGCACATTCACACCATATTTACAAATTAAAAAAAATAAATAAATAAATAAAAATAAGCTAACTTCAAATAATATAAAGCTACAAAAGAACAAAATAAAATATCATAGTGAGAAAAAAAAAAAGTAATGAAAATAAACATCTTAGACGCAGGCATACCTATTACACTATTTACAGTCGGCCATAGGAACTCCGAACCATACTTATCCCCCCACACGTGGAGGGAAAGCAAGGCTTTAGGAGATCCCTGCGCTTCTTCCTCAACCATTTCACTGACATTGAAAGCCAGCGGAGATTGATTAAGGGCATGCGAAATTCTATGGGAGGGATTGGATGCGCTATACACGTCCCAGGGTGCTTCAGACTACTCGTCTGACTGGGAGACGGGCTATGACGTATATATAATTCAGGGGGAAGTACGTAGAATAGAGGTGGGATATCGGAGGTTAAGCTGGCATCGAGCCGCGGTTGGCAATAACGCCAACTCTGGCATAACCTCCTCGCTTTATCCTGCTCAACTTCCGATCATAGAGGTTCCCGGTTTTCAACGGGGAACCGTCGACGTGGACGCGGTTTCGTGAAACCTACGTGACCCTGATCCTGGACAACACCCACTGAACGCCGAAAAGTAAAATGAATTACTTATCGGGGAACCGGATTCCCTTCTCTCAGCGTTTTCATTCGATTCCTGCTCATACCAGCTGGCCTGGGATTCTCTCATGCGGGAGTATGACAACCTGCTCGTTCTCGCCTCCCGTTTCCTCCAGATGATTCTAAATCATAAAAGTCCCGCATCCGGAGGCGAATATGCGAAGCATTGCTCGTACCTCACTGCTGTGGGTGAGAGTATAGAGAGCTTCCGCGCGTTGGCTCTGGAAAACGAAGAAGAAGTAATAATGTCCACTTTAGCTCTCCGCGCGATGGACCCTGCCAATAGACGGAAATTCGAACTCTCACAAGCGAGCAGCGAGTTCCCCACCGCGGTTGAGATTGTAGCTTTTGTGAGGCATCGGATGATGTCTTTTAAGATGGCCCACTAGTTCGAAGAGGTGCCTTTCGATGCGTCACGTGTCCAAGCCACGAACAATAGAAAATCAGGAATGATCATGCTTACCGGCAAAGCGGATGTTCGTCCCACCACGTTCAGATATTCAACATCACCTAAACGGACGGCTTCGGACAGAGATCTGAAAAGTAGGTCCCGACGCCGAAGATCACTGGAGGAGATTCCGCAGAGTAAATCCGTCTTGCCCAATAAGGATCCGTGTCCTCACTGCAGGGGAGGCATCATCTGGCGCGGTGTTTCAGATTTCTCGGGCTGGCAATCGAAGAACGCTGCGAATTAGGAACGTTGAGCAGACTCTGTCACAAGTGTGACTCACAACTGTCTTAGATCCGGCCATCGAAGTTCGGAATGCTTTTCCGCATTTACATGCACATTTTGTGGCGAAAAGCACCATAGCCTGCTACATAAGAAAAATTGTTCCGATTTGAACACCAAGGAGGAGGGCGATTTCGTCTGTCACGCTCGCGGCGCCTCTGTCTCGACTTCTCCTGATGCCTCAGCGCGTCTTTTGCTAGACTCTGGCAGCCAGTACACGTTCGTCACCTCTCAGCTTGCACTAGATCTGTATTCGATGAAAAATCAGAGAGATCCCGCTGAAAATACGCAAATACTGAGAGACCAGTTGAGAGTACAACCTTCCTATCAGCTGATCCACTGCCTTCTCACTTATTTATTACATCTTATTATTTTCTTCTATTTTCAATTGGTTAATTCATTTTAATTGTGCATTATTTTAAGCATTTCCGTTTTATATAATGTCTCTTTTATTTTAATTTTATATTTGCATTCTACATCAATGTATGATCATCCGTTTTGACTTTATATTCATTTTAATTATTAAATATTATGTCTGTTAATTTCTTAATTCTGTTTTATATGTAAACAGAATTA